ATGGTACTGATGGGTTGATGGTGGTGTAGGTGATGGGACTAATGGGTTGATGGTGGTGTAGGTGATGGGACTGATGAGATGATGGTGGTGTAGGTGATGGGACTGGTGAGATGATGGTGGTGTAGGTGATGGGACTGATGGGTTGATGGTGGTGTAGGTGATGGGACTGATGGGTTGATGGTGGTGTAAGTGATGGGACTGATGGGTTGATGGTGGTGTAGGTGATGGGACTGATGGGTTGATGGTGGTGTAGGTGATGGGACTGATGGGTTGATGGTGGTGTAAGTGATGGGACTGATGGGTTGATGGTGGTGTAGGTGATGGGACTGATGGGTTGATGGTGGTGTAAGTGATGGGACTGATGGGTTGATGGTGGTGTAGGTGATGGGACTGGTGAGATGATGGTGGTGTAGGTGATGGGATTGATGGGTTGATGGTGGTGTAGGTGATGGGACTGATGAGTTGATGGTGGTGTAAGTGATGGGACTGATGGGTTGATGGTGGTGTAGGTGATGGGACTGGTGAGATGATGGTGGTGTAGGTGATGGGACTGATGGGTTGATGGTGGTGTAGGTGATGGGACTGATGGGTTGATGGTGGTGTAGGTGATGGGACTGGTGAGATGTGGTGGTGTAGGTGATGGGACTGATGGGTTGATGGTGGTGTAGGTGATGGGACTGATGGGTTGATGGTGGTGTAGGTGTTGGGAATGTTAGGGTGATGATGGTGTGGATGACAGGACTGTTTGTTTGTTGTGTAGGTGTAGGAGATTGGACTGTTAGGATGGTGTTTGCAAAGTACTACCTTAGTATATTGAATGCCAAATATTACGCACATGTATGGGTAACTGGGAGGGTCACTCGTAGTATATATGCTATAACAAAGGATATTATCTTTTCACAGACAGACAGACGGAGGATTTCAAGAATGCATGGGCGGGAAATAAGAATAATGAATAATGTTTCGAGAAAGCAGTTGTTTAATATCTATTCTCTGTGTAATAATTATATTTATGGGAAATTGTACACAAATTTCAAATGTCTCATCATGTGTATTTTCGTGTTTAAAATTCAGATATTAAAACAGCTCGTCCCCATTCCACTCGATTTTAGATTAAAACATGATTTTGCTCTTCAACTTGTATTTATGTGTATATTAATTTGATGATAAACTAAAGACAAAATAACTGACACGAATGGAACCCATAAGAAATACAGGGGGAGCTCAGCGATTCCACAACATTAATACACTGAGCAAGGGAGATTCTACTCTACGGGCTTTTACAAAGGGAAACCACTCCCACTTAGAGTATAAACTAAGATTAGCTGCCCTTGATTTATCTAAAGGTCTCGGACATTACATATCGCTTCCAGACGACTGAGGTTTTTGTCCTTCCCTTGATTAGCGAAAAGGTATGTTGTTTCATATTTCTTTCAGCACTGAGTTGGGTGGGAATAGTTCTTTTAGCTATCGATTCGTTAGTTATGTGGTTCACTATCGCAATTAACGATATATTGCTGACGTTAATCTGTGGTGCGTTCTTCGTGTCGTTGAAGTGTCGATTCGAATCATAAAGTTTTACATGGTAAAGAGTTAGTGTTACATAAAGCAGATTATGTAAGTGACATAAGCCCTGTCTTGCACGCCTTTTTCAAGTTTATTCAGGGACTACAACGATCTTAGCTACTTAGATTTGTTAGGCCCAACTGTAAGTTTCGATTGTAGTTCACAATAATCTTAGCCTTGTGCAAGTGGATGGTGATTGTAGCCGAAGCCTAACATCGCGACCGTTATAGTCTGGTCAAAATAACGATAGACCCAGCACTAATTGCAACAGAAATGATTCATATTTCACAAGCCCTCCTTAACATCATAAAAAAATCGAGAAAAAATTCATTGGGGGAACATTTCCAAATTCAGTCATCTTTACTATAGCGATTCCCTAGCATTTTTATAGAAAAAATTAAAAAAAACATTTTTGAAATTTACTATGTTACATATCAAATGAAAGCTACTAACACAGGCTTCATATGTTATACCGTTCCATATCCTGTCTTGTACAGAGAAATCAGCAAAAATCAATAATAGTAATCTATCGTGTTCCAAACAGCATCTAGTTGACCCGGTGTACATCACCTGTCTATAACTGTACATATGCATCTAGTTGACATGGTGTACATTACCTGTCTATAACTGTACATATGCATCTAGTTGACATGGTGTACACTACCTGTCTATAACTGTACATATGCATCTAGTTGACATGGTGTACATAACCTGTCTATAACTGTACATATGCATCTAGTTGACATGGTGTACATCACCTGTCTATAACTGTACATATGCATCTAGTTGACATGGTGTACATTACCTGTCTATAACTGTACATATGCATCTAGTTGACATGGTGTACACTACCTGTCTATAACTGTACATATGCATCTAGTTGACATGGTATACATTACCTGTCTATAACTGTACATATGCATCTAGTTGACCCGGTGTACACTACCTGTCTATAACTGTACATATGCATCTAGTTGACATGGTGTACACTACCTGTCTCATAACTGTACATATGCATCTAGTTGACCTGGTGTACATCACCTGTCTATAACTGTACATATGGATCTAGTTGACATGGTGTACATTACCTGTCTATAACTGTACAAATGGATCTAGTTGACATGGTGTACATTACCTGTCTATAACTGTAAATATGCATCTAGTTGACATGGTGTACATTACCTGTCTATAACTGTACGTATGGATCTAGTTGACATGGTGTACATTACCTGTCTATAACTGTACATATGCATCTAGTTGACATGGTGTACACTACCTGTCTATAACTGTACATATGCATCTAGTTGATCCGGTGTACATCACCTGTCTATAACTGTACATATGCATCTAGTTGACATGGTGTACACTACCTGTCTCATAACTGTACCTATACATCTAGTTGACCTGGTGTACATCACCTGTCTATAACTGTACATATGGATCTAGTTGACATGGTGTACATTACCTGTCTATAACTGTAAATATGCATCTAGTTGACATTGTGTACATTACCTGTCTATAACTGTACGTATGGATCTAGTTGACATGGTGTACATTACCTGTCTATAACTGTACATATGCATCTAGTTGACCTGGTGTACGTTACCTGTCTATAACTGTACATATGGATCTAGTTGATTCGGTGTACACTACCTGTCTCATAACTGTACGTATGAATCTAGTTGACATGGTGTACATTACCTGTCTATAACTGTACAAATGCATCTAGTTGACCCGGTGTACATTACCTGTCTATAACTGTACATATACATCTAGTTGACATGGTGTACACTACCTGTCTCATAACTGTACATATGCATCTAGTTGATCCGGTGTACATCACCTGTCTATAACTGTACATATGCATCTAGTTGACATGGTGTACATTACCTGTCTCATAACTGTACATATACATCTAGTTGACCTGGTGTACATCACCTGTCTATAACTGTACATATGCATCTAGTTTACCTGGTGTACATTACCTGTCTAACACTGTACATATGGATCTAGTTGACCAGGTGTACATTACCTGTCTATAACTGTACATATGCATCTAGTTGACATGGCGTACATTACCTGTGTATCACTGTACATATGCATCTAGTTGACCTGGTGTACATTGCCTGTCTATAACTGTACATATGCATCTAGTTGACCTGGTGTACATTACCTGTCTATAACTGTACATATGCATCTAGTTGACATGGTGTACATTACCTGTCTATAACTGTACATATGCATCTAGTTGACCTGGTGTACATTACCTGTCTATAACTGTACATATGCATCTAGTTGACCTGGTGTACATTACCTGTTGATTACTGTACATATGCATCTAGTTGACATGGTGTACATTACCTGTCTATAACTGTACATATGCATCTAGTTGACATGGTGTACATTACCTGTCTATAACTGTACATATGGATCTAGTTGACCAGGTGTACATTACCTGTCTATAACTGTACATATGGATCTAGTTGACCTGGTGTACATTACCTGTCTATAACTGTACATATGGATCTAGTTGACCTGGTGTACATAACCTGTCTATAACTGTACATATGCATCTAGTTGACCTGGTGTACATTACCTGTGTATTACTGTACATATGCATCTAGTTGACATGGTGTACATTACCTGTCTATAACTGTACATATGCATCTAGGTGACATGGTGTACATTACCTGTCTATAACTGTACATATGGATCTAGTTGACCAGGTGTACATTACCTGTCTATAACTGTACATATTCATCTAGTTGACCTGGTGTACATTACCTGTCCATAACTGTACACATGGATCTAGTTGACCTGGTGTATGTTACCTGTATATAGTTCTGCATATACAACCCGCTGACCTGGAAATGTTGTTGAGAATTTTGAATGAATCACATTTTGTATGGATGATATATCTAATACACCTTTCTTTACCAAATGAAAATATGTTTTTTTGTAAGCAATGAAATAAAACAGCACTTAGTTAGCGAAATTTAAGCCATATGACGGCTTCTACAAGATTATGTTTCTAGGTTTGTCAGCACCATGCCCGTGCTCGTCGGTTTCACCAAAGTGGTAAACGTCTGAGACCTGCATCACTTCGGGCTTTCCTCCCACATTAAGCTGACACGCCGTGATATAACTGGAATACTGTTAAAAGCGGCGTTAAACCCAACTCACTCACTTTTACAAGAGCCAGTGCCAACCTACGCTGTACAAGTTCGTGGTTGTATTGATCTCTTCAATCCAGGAACATGAAGCATCACGTGACGTCCCACGCTGCTTATAAGCAGGTCCCAACCTACCTGGCGTCACTTTGGGAACATTCGTACAGGTAGTCTCGTCATCTCCATCTACTAAGTGGCTGTCTCTGGTACCGGGAGTAGTCTGACTAGTCTGTGAATCCTGTGATCCTCTGTGAACACTTTAAGATGACGCCGATGTGGTCAAGGAACTGGGGAAACCTGTGCCTGGCGGTTTACTTCTTGTCTGTATTTTCCACATGCGACACGAAACAGTGTGAACTTCTGAAGGTAGACAAACTGACGCCTTCTTCTGCCACTATCAGGAACATTGGCATCAAATTGTGCCAAGTAAGATGTAATGAATATGGAGGATGTTTAAGTTTCGAATACAATTATGAAACTTTAACCTGTCGTCTATCAAGTGATGAAGCAAAGAAAATTAAGAAGAGGGAGGGATACATCGTACAATCTAAGGATCATGCTGATGTAAGTTAAAGATACAGCTAGCTAAATAAAATCTTGATTCATATAAGTATCATGGTGTCTTCTCAATTATCATAGAACGCCATGTGTAAACTTGATGTAGTCATTCAAGGTTAATACAATTCTGTCTTTGATGCAGACGTCCTGCTTCGAAATTTCCTCACAGGCAGAATAGTGTATTGTATGATTTATAGGCATGCACATATAGGACAGATGAAAAACAACAAGACAAGTCACAAAAAAGCGATTCGAGTTCAAACTTTTATGTTGTTATTTCATCAGATCTGACCATTTTACCCACAATCCTGGTATATAGACCACCTTCACTTCATAGTAAAGGCAATAAATACATATGATCCCTTCCCTTGGTGTTTAAAGGTCCAAACTGGTCCCTGTGCATCCAAGACCTGCAGTCTGAATTCCCGATGTTTGGAGACTAGATCTGGGAAAGGTGTCTGTATAGACGGTAAGTGCCCAGAGAATTGTACAATACTGAGTTTTCAATTTTCGAGAGTATTTTCATCAACATACATTCATGTTTTTAAGTATATTTCTATTTCCTATTCTTTAAAAACACCATTATATGCTTATACCGCAAAGTTGATTTCAACTATCGTATGTTTACAAACACATTCACTGAAATATGTATTTCTTGTCGAATGCCCATCTTCATTTACTTGTCAGTCTGGTGGAATAATACTTTTCTTATTAAATTTATTGGAATGACTATCCCATGTCTACTTTGTTGTGCGACATAATGTCCTTTATGCTAAATAAATAATATAACTAAGGGATTGACTGTGAATACGTTCGGGGTCATTCTTGATCTACATATTTTGATAAGTTGTAAACTGTTGGTTGCATAGACCAAGATGTACTGTCTACACGGAAAACCTACTGTAGGTAAATATAAAACGTCAACGCCCGAGAAAAATCAGTCTCAATTTTAGATTGGGGTTGTCATCTTGCTTTGGTAACTTGTCTGAGGCACGGAGCATGTAAACATTGTCAGCCATTTACAGTTGTGAGGTGTGAGTAACTGTGATACAGGTCAAGTTCTGCGACATCCAAGTTCGGGATCTTTTAAAAGTTTTACTCTTCAGTGCAACAGCACTATGAACAGTATTAAAGTGCAGGGAGTGTTTAAGAGCAGCAAGCCTACGGGCAAGACGTCCTGTTCGACGCGTCATATTGAGTCGACAACATCATCAACAACGACTGCATTGGTGTCGTAAACACAGGGTGTGGCCTCAAATGCGATTGAGAGATATCTGGTTCAGCGACGAATCTAGATTTCTCCTCTGTCGAGGGGATTGAAGTGCACGGTTCTACAGTCGGGGAAAACGTTACGCCGAAACCTGCGTACAGGAAGTGGACAGGGTTGGTGGGGGTAGCGTTATGATGTGGGCGGGAGTCTCTCATCATGGCAGGACAGGTTTGGTCAATATCCAGGGCAATCTTACGGCTCAACGATACATCAACGAAATTCTCCTCCCACACGCCCTCCCAATTGCAGCCAACGGCAACGGTGTATTCCAGCAGGACTGGGCTCGACCGCATGCAGCAGGGGTCACAAGAGCATGTCTACACAACAACAACGTTGATGTTCTCCCCTGGCCCTAACGATCCCTGGATTTGAACCCGGTGGAGCATCTGTGGGATGCATTGGAAAGACGACTGCGCCGACGTCAACCACAGCCCCAGACGTTGCAGCAGTTGGCATTTGCGTTGCAGGTCGAGTGGCCTACCATTCCCCAGAAAGTGATTCGCATACTCGTATATTCCATGGGCAGGAGATGTCTGGTCGCTACCAACGGGGGACATACGTGTTATTGATGGTAGCTGACCTTCACCTTGGACTTTTCCAATGTACCGAGAATTGAGATAACTACCATCACCAATCTCCACAACATTTTGGCTCAATACCTTGTACAGTTCCTCGTATAAATGTATTTTCCTGCCCCACAGAAATCTTGCTTGGGTTTCTTTTCTGAAGAGTATATTTAATGCGGGTAATTGCTAACAAACTGATGAGACTTACACATGTAAAATAAAAAGTAGAATGTTAATTCCTAAAGTTTGTTGGAGAAATATATTCGTTTAAGATTTTGAAAAAAAAAAAATTCACAACTTGTCGCTCCTACAATGGCAAGTGGCATCTTCAATTTCCAAGAGTTTTGAGTTATTTGTGTCAACTTCTTTTCGAAAACCTATGTGCTTTGAACACTTATTTTGAACTACTGAAGACTATTGGTATTTTATTGTTAAAAATTTAGAAATATTTGTTGCATATACACTCTCTCAAAAAAGAAACGCTACCCCAGTCTGAAAATGTGAGAAAACCCCAAGAAGAAAAATATTGATTGTAAATACAATTTTTCTGATATGCACTTATACCATGTACACTGTTTATTAACGTAAGCGCCCAAACACACCTATTTTCGTGCACAAGGGCATTTTATTGTTACTTTTATCATAGTGAGCACGATTTTCGCGTGGCCCATGCCAAAAGCCTCATGCACGTGCAATTCATGGAAAGAGCGGTAGAAGTATGGGTTTATAAAAGCACCTGTTGATAAGCGATTCACTCTATCATTTTCACCGAAAGACAAGGTCGAATATGCCACGGTTGAGTGCTGCAGATCGAAATATCGCCATTGGTCGTATTGAGACGGGACAGAGCTTTCGGAAACGTTGCCCGGCACCTCAATGTTCATAAAACAACGATTTCCCGACTTTGGAGCCGATACACACAGTTTCATGCAACTGAAGATCGCCCCAGAAGTGGTAGGCCAAGGGTTACCACACCACGGCTAGCCACACCTACCGTCACTGCAACACAGGTGCCAGGTTCGAGAAGAGTGTCCGCACAAACAATTAGGAACCCTCTACGAGAGGCAGGTCTACGTGCAAGAAGACCACTTATTGGACCTGTTTTACGCCACGAACATCGACGCCAACGACTTAGGTGGTGCACCAACGTTCGGATATGGACCCTCAGAAACTGGAGGTGCGTCTGGTTTAGTGACGAATCACGTTTTCTCTTACAACGCCGTGACGGAAGACAGCGTGTCTATAGAAGAGGAAACGAACGTTTTGCCCCGAACTGTGTTCGGCAGGTCGACAGATTTGGTGGAGGGAGCTTCATGGTGTGGGGAGCCATGTCTTACAACCAAAGATCAGACTTGGTGATCATTCGTGGCAATTTGACAGCCCAGCGCTATATCAGTGACGTCTTACAGCCTCATCTTCTGCCGATTATCGACCAACAGAGAGAGCTCTATCAACACGACAACGCCCGGCCGCACACTGCTCATACAACAGTGAATTTTCTCCAGAATTCTAACGTCAACGTGTTACCATGGCCCTCCCGATCACCAGACATCAACCCAATCGAACATCTTTGGGATTATCTGGACCGACGAGTACGTGCACGTACACCGCCGCCGCAGACGTTGGATGCACTAGCCGATGCACTGCAGGAGGAGTGGAGAGCAATCCCTCAGGAAAGAATCCGGCGTCTAATCCGTTCTGTTCCTAGGAGGTGTAATGCTGTGATCGCAGCTCGTGGCGCTCATACAAGGTACTGAGAAAGACGCCCCCTTGCGTCAAGTCAATCTTAGTGAGAGAACTGTCGAAGTCTGGACTTAAACTTGCATAACTGTACTGCCACCATGCCAAATTTCATATTGTTGTCTTCAATAATAAATGTGGTATAATAACGTGAATATTGAGATAAACATCTTGAAAATATAGGGGTTGCGTTTCTTTTCTGAGAGAGTGTATAACTGACTCCTCTACGGAGTGTTCTAAAGTAGTTGACCTTTGTACCCTGTGCAGTTGCGCGTAACACGAGAGCACCCATTTTAAAGCGTTGTTGTCGTCATGGTAGAATGGAGATAAATCTACTTTGAAATTTGATGTAGTCCTACTGTAAGATAGACTCCTCTTGCTTTAATTTGGAACCAATTGCTTGACAATGAGGGGCACTGTTGTTTTAATTGTATTGACGAATGATAGTGAAAGGCACTGTTAATCTTTAACGCATGTTTTGTATTGTCCCATGACAGTGAAGGGCACTGCTACTTTAATAGTTATAGTATGACTCGTACTGACCCATGATATTAATGTGCACCCTTGCCTTTAAAACCATTACTTGTTTTGAACAATGATAGTCATGGGCACTGTTGATCTTAATGTCATCACTTGTATTGACTAAAACCAGTGACGATTACTGTTGGTGTGGATAACATGACTTGTACTGACCAATGATTGCTGTTGAACATTGTTGCTTTAATAATTATTGTTTGACTTGTATTGACCTATGACAGTTATGTGAACCACTGTTTTTAACAACATGACTTGTACTGACCCATGATAGTTATATGAACCACTGTTTTTAACAACATGACTTGTATTGACCCATGATAGTTATGTGAAAAATTGTTTTTAACATGACTTTTACGGACCCATGATAGTTATATGAACCATTGTTTTAACAACATGACTTGTATTGACCAATGATAGTTATGTGAACAATTGTTTTTAACAACATGACTTGTACTGACCCATGATAGTCATGTGAACCATTGTTTTAACAACATGACTTGTATTGGCCCATGATAGTTATGTTAACAATTGTTTTTAACAACATGACTTGTATTGACCCATGATAGTTATGTGAACAATTGTTTTTAACAACATGACTTGTATTGACCCATGATAGTTATGTGAACAATTGTTTTTAAAAACATGACTTGTATTGACCCATGATAGTTATGTGAACAATTGTTTTTAACAACATGACTTGTATTGACCCATGATAGTTATGTGAACAATTGTTTTTAACAACATGACTTGTATTGACCAATGATAGATATGTGAACCACTGTTTTTAACAACATGACTTGTATTGACCCTTGATAGTAATGTGAACCATTGTTTTAAACAACCACCTATCACTCCGAGGATGGTCCCTGACTGCATTCGTCTGTTGCCAACGTTGCCATAAACACCAAATGGTGTTTCTGTGGACGTTACATTGTCTTGCAACATCACGTTGACTCGATCCTGCTTCAAGCATACCAATGGCTCGCAGGCGCTAATTTTCAGACAGGCGTGGCATTTCGTTATGTAGAATAATTGCGTAATTTTGTTGTTCTTGTGAGTGGTTGTTGTCAGCACGATGGTAAACAATGCATAGGGAATCCTGTTAACGCTTTTCTGTGGGAGTTGCGGTTTTTGTGACTTGATTCCACACATGTACTACAATATTAAAAAAGGGCCTTGTATTTTGTGCGGGCACCAGTACCCAACGGTCTACATACACACACAAAATTTGAACAAAATCGATTGTACAATAATCGGCGGAATAATAATAAATATTGGAGCAATACTACTACTACTACTACTACTACTACTACTACTACTACTACTACTAAATCGAACGATTACAATAGGGTTCTACAGCATTCGGCTTGGAGCCCTGAATAGCGATAACTTGTCGGTGACCAGTCATCATTCCATCAATACAAAACACAAGTAGGGAGGTGATGTGAACATTCATCGGATGTTCCAATATAATGGCTGCAGATATTCTGTTTTTCTTTGTGCTTTAGATCTGATTTTTCTTTCGGCGTTGTAACAATAATGTTCATGAATGCTATATGTTTTTGTTCCAAAACAAAATAACTGTCAACGTGCATGTTGCATACAAACTTTAGAAATTGGATTCAGGATGTGTTTTTTTTCTATACAGACACGTGGGGCAAATGAACAACAATTTAAATCTAATTCAAGTGATTTGTCAGGACTCAATCACTAAACTAAGTATAATAAATGTATTTGAAATTTATTTAATTTTGCAGTGAATATTTTAACACAACACATTTGTCGAAAGGCAACAACTTGGCTGTGGCCGGTATTTATAATGCTCATGTACTACATATAGTTTTCTGAACAGCGTATTCTCTGTTTCAGCTTCGAATTACCCGAGTGAAGACCCGAGCCAGAGCGAGAGTATTCCACGGCCCCCAGTGACGGCAGTAAAGTCTGATCAACATGGTAGGTACTAGAACCCAGCAGGTGGTAGATACTGTCACTGTCCAACTTTGTACGAGGTGTGGCCACATCGTCCTGAAACAAATATCATTATTATTATTATTCGTAATATTCAACCTCTGACCACATTAAATGTTTTTGTTGTCAAAACTGCATATGGCCATATGGCGTCTGTGTTAGATGACTTGCTGTTTGACGAATTGTTTGACCACACGAATCCAAAAACCTGACTTGGTACAGACAGGTTTGCCTTTGTAAACGATGATGACATCGACTTTTGCCAATGAAAATGAAAATTCAATGAAAAAGATTAAACTTGACAAGGAAGAAAGACACGATAATTAAGACTACTCATACTTTCAACGATGACATCAGAATGAAAACAAACTCATTTTGCAACGTTGTGTGAAGAAAAAAGAACGCTGTGTTTGACAAGTCCTCCTAAAATCCCACATGCACATGTTTCCCATCAGTCACATGTCTCAAATCACACACGATGTTCATTAAACTTGTTGTCCAGATTAAACTGTAACACCGGTCCTCTTGTCATTCCTGGTTTCGGCTGTCTCATATCTGGGTCAAGTTGGGTCATTCATTCCGACACAGCAATCGTATTTTTCAAAGGTTACTTTTTTACGTATTTTTTCTCTAACAAACAAGACTTCATCACATTCCGTCAACGTTGTTATAAGTTTTGGCATTTTTTTCGAATGTCACATGAAAAGATTGACAGGATAGCCGTGTTTCCTCTTCTTAATTCATTCCGTGGGGAGTCTCACGTGCCGGGTGCGTGTCACCATATCCACGTATCCGAATTGCGCAGATCGATGCTCATGTTGTCAATCACTGAATTGTCTGGTCTGCGTCGTATATCTTAAATATTGTTGAGAGCGGCGTCAACCAAAGTAACATCTTATTATCCAAATAATTCCAAACAGCAATTGCACTAACTTCATCATCTTGTTAACCTCAGTCCACCAAAGCCTCATGCAATACAGAGAATAATGCTACAACTGCTTGATGTAACAGAAAGATTTAAACATTACATACATAATTCTTGAGGGGCGGTCGGGTAGCCTAGTGGTTAGAGCATTCGCTCGTCACGCCGAAGACCCGGGTTCAATTCCCGACATGGGTACAATGTGTGAAGCCCATTTCTGGTGTCCCCCGCCATGATATTGCTGGAATATTGCTAAAAGTGGCGTAAAACCATACTCACTCACTCATAATCCTTGATTAGAGGAACCAACTGTCGTCATTCCCCTTAATCGTGATATTGTTGTCAGCCATATTGGAACTGTTGACGTATATCGTGTGACGTATCAACAATTGGAGGTGTGAACAATGTAGATGTATGACAAATATGTCTGGATGTGTTTACGTTGTGTTACAGTGACTCCAACACCAGAAAGCTGCCGCCGCCTCCATGTTGCATGCTGTACGCGGAACCTGAAGGAGGTGAAGCTGTTCCTGTCTCTGGGAGTCAACATCAACTGTAGATGGCAAATACAATCGAGCAGGACACCGGTGATGTCGGCAGCAGCTGGGGGGTGTGGGGGTGTGAAGGTGGTGGCGGGCTTTGTGGTGAAGTTCCTTGTGAGTATAGGAGCCGATTTGTCACTGATGGACAGGTACGGCAACAACATCCTTTTTTACGCCTGTTTGGGAAGATCCATGAGGATAATGAAGTTTCTGCTGTCTCTGAACGTGGTGGACATCGACCACAGGAACCAGCGCGGGCAGACAGCGGCCGACAGAGCAAGATCCGTCGGATTTCATCGATTCGCGGATGTCCTGGAGTCCCGCGGCGAGAAATGACATTGGGGTGGTGTGCCATTCACATCGTGGTGGTTTCTTTTTAAGTTTTAAGATAAGAATGTTCTTTGTTTTGAAGATAAATAAAACTTTCGAAAAGATTTTGGGCCATTTAGCCATTATTTGTATTTGGAACTTCGCATGATGAAGTGAGCAAATTGTTTATTGAATGTAAATGTAGATTATGTGTGATCGGTATGTATAAACATCGCATCTTGTGATATAATCTCTGTTTCAAATGTAGTAATAATTTATATTTAATCGTGAAACAGACAACACACTGTTTGTTTACATCTCGCTGCACTCAGTGACCTCAGACTGAGCCAAGGTTTGCCCCGCTGATGTGGCCATTTGTACAATCACAGTGACATCACACTGTCGATGACGTCACGCCATTCCGGCTAAGGTCTAATAACTAAAGGGGCCGCCTGATTTCTATGCTAAATACAATATCGGTAATTCACAGGGCGGCACAATGCTGGCTTCATGACAAACGTACGTACAACATAGGCACCATGTGGGCGATATAGTTTAACAAAGGCAAAATATACTTTTTTCTATGGAGTTGTGTTGCATATTATTGCTGCTGACAAAACGAAATATTTCTGATTAGCGGGTTATTTCGTTCTCTCTTCCTTTTCACCATTTCAATCAAGCTCCTTCCCAGCGCGTGACACCATTCGTCACCACTCGACCCTTTCCGTCACCTGAAAGAACACTCGTCCCCCTATCGATGAATGTTTTCTGCGAAAGCACTACACACCAATCAGAATGCGCGTATGATTTCAGGTTCTTCGTCAAAGAATCCCTCAGAAATAATTTTTGATTTTACATATGTCTCGATCTGAAAATATACCTAAGACAGTTAAATGTGTCCAGTCATACTGTATTGTTCTGCATGTCCACATGTGCTTTAAATTGCATCTGAATATATATATATATATATATATAATGTATGGGGAAATATAAGTGAACCATTATGCAACGAGTTGACAATTGTTTTAGGTATGCCCGTTTGAGCTAAGACGGAACCCGGTCTAAAAATGGCCATGAGAGGGGCACGAGTCGCTATTCGGCTTGTCCCGGAATAACACGAGTTGGTCGACACTGAAAATAGCGTCCATATGGTCCTCAGTAATTAAACTGGGCAGAAAAAGAAAGTATAGGTCGAGTTCCATGATCGATAAAAAAAATAACAGGATGAGATTTTGTTGTGAATTATGATAAAATCTAGGAAGGGGTAAAAAATGATTGATCAACCACAGTTTGAAAGAAATTGTGCAGTCACAGGTAATGTAAGCTCAAGGTAAACGATGGTGGGGTAAGAAATTTCGTTTACAAAAGTTTTCTGAAATGTCACCAAAAAATTTTCAGACACACTACAAGTTCATTGTCAACACAGCGACTTCAATAGCGTGTATGACGTCCAGCTGCCTCAATGCATGCTGTGATACGCCGCCTCATCGATGACGTCAGTCTTCTGATGACGTGGACTGGAATCCGTTGCTACTCGTATCTCAGGGCCTACTGCAATTCTTTTCTGTTGACGGGAGGCGGATGGCGTGCTCTAATCTGTCTGTCAGCTTTATTTTTGACGTAAAACATAATAATTTCATGACTTTATATTTCCTCCAAACCCCCAACACCGGTTACTGTACACACTCTTTGTTGCTGCGGATACCATTCCTTGGCGAAACCCCAGGCTGCTAACCTCTGGTAGCTACACAGTGTTGAAACGCACTGGACTTAGCACAAAGACTGAGGGCGAACGTCAATCCGCCTCCCCTGTAACCAACAGTTCGATGTTCAATGTCATCATCATTCAAAGTATTTCATGAGCACCCGTGTTTTAATCGTCTAATATTTGTTTGCTTCGCTAAACCTTTTCCATAATCACCAGTGACTAAAGGGATGATGTAAATCCTGCTGGTGTCCATGCAGGTAGCAAAGGTACTGTAAGTCCCCATGGTCCCCAGTGTGGTGGCCTTACTTTAGTTGCTGGAGACTAATAGCCCATTTTTATAATGTCATGTCATATTCAGCGATATCCTTTTATGGTAATTTACTAAACTGAGACCGCCTCCGTTGTCTTGTGATAGAGTGTCCATCTGGACATGTACAGTGGAAGGTCCGGCGCGCGCCGTTCGATTCTCGTCAGCGTCATACCAAAAAACATAAACAGATGGTACTTGTTGTTTCCCTGTCTGGCGCTCGGTACTAAGGGGACAAGGGGATTTCACCATACCTCACTAAACAAAACGGCAAAAGAAATCTTGCACCACATTGAAATGACTGTATTAATTAAACTAAAAATATCAAAAGTAAAGTATATCCAATAATCCAACAATTTCATAAAGTATTGAACAACTCAAACTTCATATTGTGCAGTCAAATATTGTACACCAGACAAACAAAATCAGTGGGGGTTGAAAATTCAGATTTTCACTGCAGTTAATTAAAACACGGAAAGTTTTCACAGACACACAACTTGTCACTTTAGTACCGAATGTGGCCGCCCCGTGCCTCCATACATACAAAGTCGGACGGAAAACGTCAAACGTCTGATGAGGTCACGTGGCAAGCGGGTCCATTCATCATGTTGAGCATGTATCAACTCTTGTCTGTTGGCGGGAGAGTGTCGACGGACTCTAACCCGCCTGTCAAAGACGTCCCAGAGGTGTTGTATGCGTGATAAGTCAGGAGAAAATGCCGGCCATGGTAAGACGTTGACGTTGTTGTTGGCAAAAAGTCCACTACGATATGAGCTGTGTGGGTCCAGGCGTTGTCGTGTTGATACACCTCTGGGTTGTTGCTGGGGGTAGGGCAGCACTACTGGACGGAGGATGTCATCTCTACAGCGCTGCGCATTGAGGTTTTCATTGATAACGACGAGTGGCGTCTGGTCTCAACAAATTCCACCCCACACCATTACTCCACCTCCGCCGTAAGGAACGACTCCTTGAACGCAGCAAGCAGCTGTCCGTTCACCTCCGCAGCGGTAAACACGCGGTCTGCCATCAATTCTAAATGAAAAGAACTTGCTTTCGTCCGTAAAGACCACGCGTTGCCAGCCCATACGCTGCCACCGTCGCACTGTATTAGCCCATCTAATTCGTCTGCGTCGATGATCAGCGGTCAACATATGTCCTCTGAATTGTCAGTAGGTCCGGATACCTACTGCCGATGACGTCAGTGTGAGGAAGAGGTTGCGGAGGTGCAACGTTCGCAGAGACCGGTCTTCCTGTGGCGTAGTGACCCGTGGTCTCCCTGTCCTAAGAGGCGACTAACGGGATCGGGTGGTCAGGCTCGCATTGATGCATGTGATCGATCCCAATTGCGTGGATCAATGATGTCAATTACTGGAGTGTCTGGTCCAGACTCGATTATTTACAGACCGCCGTCATATAGCTTGAATAGTGCAGCGTAAAACAACAAACAAACTAAACTAAACTAAAGTTTCCAACGGGAACAGCCAAAGGTTCTTGCAACGTGGGTGTGCGTGGCCCCCATCTGCACCATCCCCATTGCTCGCTCGCGTTGTTCTGATGTTAGTCTTGGCATTTCAAATGAGGTGTTTGTACTCTGTGAATGTTTGACATTGCTTCTGTGCAGTTTTTATACCCATGTGGCACGTGCATTTCTATCAGCAATTACAATACGTGATTTTACATTTTTCGCATTTTCTCAAAAATACGTGCGCAATGCCGGTAAAAGTCACAGGTACAACAACGATGCGTTTGGGCTGTGTGTTTGTGTTTGTGTTTGTGTTTGTGTTTGTGCCTATTTGGGTTTGACCCAGTACAACTAATTTATAATCACATTATTTTTCAAATGTGTAAGGTTTCTTTTGCAGTTCAGTTTTGTTTTATTAATATATATCTGTGAAATACTGGTATCTAGTTATTCTTCTGTCCTTTGGTGAAAGGTTCATTTCTAGTCTAATTGTATTTGTTATTTATAACATTCTATTGTCACGATATCGCTGAAATACTGCTGATGTGACTTTAAATTTGAACTCACTCACGAACTCGGTACTTTCCATTTCTGTATTCATTTTGACCCCTATCACGTTCAACTTGCTGTCACTCCTATGCAAATACACTTGCACTGAACTGCTTAAACAATGTACTACATCGACTAGTTCACTTTGTTTATGGCCCATTGTGGAAAGTTCGTTCGGCTTAGAGCTTTTTGACCAGCCCTCGTACGTGAATATGATCAGTATGTGGATTGTCGGTGTACTTATTGATTTCTATTAACTATTGTAGAGACCATGAACATGATAATAAATACGGGTAGATACAGAGCCTCGCGATTTGTAGTTTGCCTTTGGACACACGGTAAAATATGGTAAGATTTGCTTCAAGCTTATACCTGTGAACTGATCATATTTTTGTATTTACAATTACTCAAATCGCACCCCGTAATAATTCCGGGTTAGAAGTCCCCTGCAACCGATGCAGGTTGTAAGGCAACAAATGGATCGAGAGGTCAGGCTGGGTGTCTTGGTTGGTTGCGTGTGTGTTCACTGTTCACAAAATTAATCACTGGATTGTCCCATCTAGGCTTATTTATTTACAGGTCATTGTCATAAAGCTGGAAAATTGGTGAGTGTGGCATTATGCAGCAGACAAACTCTATGCCCTGTATGTAATCCACAACAAAATGCTACTTTATTCTAATATAGTCTTCCCAGATTCTGAAGTTGAATGTTTACATGATAAAACGTGTTCGTCATTGTTCTGTTTTACATCAGTACTCATGTTTCCTTTCCGGTGAACCTCCAAGAACGAATACAAAGGACAGGCAGATTAGCGACACACAACCAAAAGTCAATGCCCAATTTGTCAACATAACATCACAGAGTATTCTTGTTGCACTTGTTTCAGCGCACGAGATGTTGTTGGCAGTTGGCGACGTCGGACTGTACGATCACTGATGGCACGCTGGTGGTTGCCAATGGTTTGAGCTGTTTCAGTGGCCATTCGGAATCGGTTCTGCAGATGTCGGCGTATCATGAACCAATCATGTCTGGAAGTAGTGACTCTAGGACGACCACTACGAGGTCGGTCGTCGGTGGTCTTGTGGCGATGTTGCAAACGATATATCGCTCTGACGTTGACATTGAATGCATTTGCAACGACCTGTGCACTCTGGCCTGCTTGCAGTCTTCCGATCGCTTGTTGTCTCTCATTTCCTGATAATCTTGGCATGGCTGATGAATCGAAATAACAAAAGCCAGCTTAACAGTTTTGGGTGTCTTTTATACCCATACCATCCACGATATGCACGTGCATCATGTTTTTGACAAGACTTTTCCGCAAATGAGTCCCATTGCACTTTTGTAGGCTGCGTTTGGGCAAATAAGTCCATTTTAAACTCAATTGTGAAATGGACTTGAAGGCACCAAAAAGAAGCAATAGAACGTTAAATGAGTTTATTGACCACAGAACATGTAACTGCCAGTGTATTCAGAAGTGACGTTTCTTTTGCCTTTCAGTGTACATAGGTGTATCTGTTGACACTATACAGCATTAGGAGTTGGAACATTACATAACCGGCAACCCTTAATGTCAGCCAAAAATACACTAAAACTATTTTTTACATGAAGAGTTGTAACCCGCTACCCTTAAAGTATTTTTTTTACATTAGAGTATTGTTTTATATTAAGGGTTGTAACAAGCCCTGTTATGCGGTATTTCGAAAGCAGTTATTTAGCGCTAATTGGTGATTTCCAATGCATGGACTGTTGGCTGCCCTTGTCCCACCTTTGTTGTCTCTCACTCTTGGTGTTATTACAGGTACATAGAGGTGCTCTCTGAAACCCAGCATTCATTCACCTGTTGAAGGAGTATATACATATATGGTCTCCTCATGATAAAGAGGGGGCGGTCGGGTAGCCTAGTGGTTAAAGCGTTCGCTCGTCACGCCGAAGACCCGGGTTCGATTCCCGACATGGGTATAATGTGTGAAGCCCATTTCTGGTGTTCCCCCGCCGTTACATTGCTGGAATATTGCTAAAAGCGGCGTAAACCCACCCTCACTCACTCACTCACAATAAAGAAGTTGACATCCATAAATTATCTCTGTAAATGTGCATTGCTATTTAACCGGTGGTCTCCCACGGCTGAATAAGTAACATTCACCTACCTCATCCAATATATGTGTTAATGTGTGACGTCATCGTATCACTATCGTTGATCTGTAAACCACTGGTCAATTGCCTGAGCTGTTGTTGCTGTACGGACATCCGTGGTAAGGCGGGGATGTTATACTGAGGTGAAGCTACATTCAACACCACTAACCATAGGCTATACACACGCGCTCGCTACTATGTTTCTCTATTAGGATTTATCAAACACATGCGTTTATCTGTCGTATCGTATCGGGTCAAACTACAGGTGATAACACCGCAACAGTCTGTCTCTGTAGTCGCAATGGCCACCTACACGGATCTGTCTGTTGTGTTGTTTATTTCAGTACTGACGTGTTTGAGCTGTAAACCGTTAACTGAAGAACCGTGTGTTTACACGACAAGTGGCGGGGTCAATGACCTGTCTCCGCTGGCTAGTGACAACGAAACAGCCAGGTAGGTATATATATACTGATGGCGAGACTAGTCGAAGGAAAACTATACAATGTCGGTAACATTTTACCGTGCTAGTCGAAGGAAAACTATACAATGTCGGGAACATGTGTGTGTGAGTGTGAGTGTGTGTGTGTGTGTGTGTGTGTGTGTGTGTGTGTGTGTGTGTGTACAAATGTATCACATCTCAAGACATCAAAACTTGAGAATTGACATTTGATAATTACGTGTCACCATAAGGAACAGAGGAGAGCAATACAATGGGAATCTCATTCGTCATGTGCATTAATTATTTTAGCCATAATGCCACTCATTGTCATCGAATTGGATGACGAATTATGATATTCTTACGAAATTATATTCAAGATGAAGACGAGCGCTAACTTCAAGCTCTTCGCTGACAAGGCTTCTCTTCTTCACATCAGGTGCTTCCCCGTCCGGCGCTGTGGACCCTGCAGTGGGTTCCCGGGGGCAGGGGGTGGTCAGAGGTGGACACGAGTAGCCTGGTCAAGGAGCAGGTGCCGAGGACGGTATTCCCCAACAGTCTCAGGGGCCTCAACGGCAGGACGCTGACACTGGCGATGCTACAGGTGAGGGCCCCCGTCAATGTTGGGTACTTTAGGATGTTTCACCATTGACCTCCTTCAATGTAGGGTACTTTAGGATGTCTCACCATTGACCTCCTTCAATGTGGGGTACTTTAGGATGTTTCACCAGGGTCCCCCTTCAATGTAGGGTACTTTAGGATGTCTCACCATTGACCTCCTTCAATGTAGGGTACTTTAGGCTGTCTCACCATGGACCTCCTTCAATGTAGGGTACTTTAGGATGTCTCAACATTGACCTCCTTCAATGTAGGGTACTTTAGGATGTCTCACCATTGACCTCCTTCAATGTAGGGTACTTTAGGATGTCTCACCATGGACCTCCTTCAATGTAGGGTACTTTAGGATGTCTCACCATTGACCTCCTTCAATGTAGGGTACTTTAGGATGTCTCACCATTGACCTCCTTCAATGTAGGGTACTTTAGGCTGTCTCACCATGGACCTCCTTCAATGTAGGGTACTTTAGGATGTCTCACCATTGACCTCCTTCAATGTAGGGTACTTTAGGATGTCTCACCATTGACCTCCTTCAATGTAGGGTACTTTAGGATGTCTCACCATTGACCTCCTTCAATGTAGGGTACTTTAGGATGTCTCACCATGGACCTCCTTCAATGTAGGGTACTTTAGGATATTTCACCATGGTCCTCCTTCAATGTAGGGTACTTTAGGATGTCTCACCATTGAACTCCTTCAATGTTGGGTACTTTAGGATGTCTCACCATGGACCTCCTTCAATGTGGGGTATTTTAGGATGTCTCACCATTGAACTCCTTCAATGTGGGGTACTTTAGGATGTCTCACCATTGAACTCCTTCAATGTGGGGTACTTTAGGATGTTTCACCATTGAACTCCTTCAATGTAGGGTACTTTAGGATGTCCTACCATTTTTGTATTTCATCAATATGCTTTATTGAATATAATCTATAAATTACTTCAAATTGCCTATGATTGAATATGAATTATATATTTTTATTGAAGCCTGCCGGAGATTTATGTACACGTTACATTCCTTGCATTCCGGATCCGAGGTTTACGGGTTCGCATCCTGGGTTCACACCGATCCTTGGTCTGTTTGCACCAGGCACTTGCTTCTTCATTTCAACAACATGGGAAATCTTTACCATAAGCATCACTTTTAGTCCACATTCGGCTGACACGCTGATATATTGTCCTAAACGGACTCTCACTCTCCGATTACAATTCTGAGGAAGTCTCTATATCTTTTTCAAGTGGATGCCCATATCAAGGCGGACGTCACGTGGCCAGAATATATCGTATGATGGCGCTGCCATTGACATGGTTGACCTTCTGGCTGCTGCGTTTAACTTCAGGTAATAACAGGACCCCCATCCCCTTCTCTGAAAATAATAAATAATAAATATTAATAACACAAAAAAACAAGACACAACAACAACAACAACAACAACAACAACAACAACAAAGCAAGTTCCAGAGACAATGTTAAATAGCATGCTTTTATTTGGTGGTGATCACATGTTTCTGAACTGTATATACTTACTTTACGGTGTTTCAATTTGACAATATTTCATATGATGATCAAACTGAAGACTGATGTTCTTCCAGCTACACCTGTGTTGAGCCTGCAGACAAGGAGTGGGGGAGTCGGCAGCACAACTCTACCTGGACCGGGATTATTGGCATGTCACAGCGGCAGGTGCGTGTCACACTAGGGCAGTATCTACCTCTACCTGGACAGGGATTATAGGCATGTTACAGCGACAGGTGCGTGTCACACTAGGGCAGTATCTACCTCTACCTGGACAGGGATTATAGGCATGTTACAGCGACAGGTGCGTGTCACACTAGGGCAGTATCTAACTCTAACTGGACCGGGATTATAGGCATGTTACAGTGGCAGGTGCGTGTCACACTAGGGCAGTATCTAACTCTAACTGGACCGGGATTATAGGCATGTTACAGTGGCAGGTGCGTGTCAGACGAGGGCAGTATCTAACTGTACCCGGACCGGAATTATAGGCATGTTACAGTGGCAGGTGCGTGTCACACTAGGGCAGTATCTAACTGTACCCGGACCGGGATTATAGGCATCTTACAGTGACAGGTGCGTGTCAGACTAGGGCAGTATCTAACTGTACCCGGACCGGGATTATAGGCATGTTACAGTGGCAGGTGCGTGTCAGACTAGGGCAGTATCTAACTGTACCCGAACCGGGATTACAGACATGTTACAGCGGCAGGTGCGTGTCACAGTAGGTCAGGATCTAACTGTACCCGGACCGGGATTATAGACATGTTACAGTGGCAGGTGCGTGTCACAGTAGGTCAGGATCTAACTGTACCCGGGCCGGGATTATAGACATGTTACAGCGGCAGGTGCGTGTCACAGTAGGTCAGGATCTAACTGTACGCGGACCGGGATTATAGACATGTTACAGCGGCAGGTGCGTGTCAGACTAGGGCAGTATCTAACTGTACCCGGGCCGGGATTATAGACATGTTACAGTGGCAGGTGCGTGTCACACTAGGTCAGGATCTAACTGTACCCGGACCGGGATTATAGACATGTTACAGCGGCAGGTGCGTGTCAGACTAGGGCAGTATCTAACTGTACCCGGACCGGGATTATAGACATGTTACAGCGGCAGGTGCGTGTCACAGTAGGTCAGGATCTAACTGTACCCGGATCGGGATTATAGACATGTTACAGCGGCAGGTGCGTGTCACAGTAGGTCAGGATCTAACTGTACCCGGACCGGGATTATAGACATGTTACAGTGGTAGGTGCGTGTCAGACTAGGTCAGGATCTAACTGTACCCGGACCGGGATTATAGACATGTTACAGCGGCAGGTGCGTGTCACAGTAGGTCAGGATCTAACTGTACCCGGACCGGGATTATAGACATGTTACAGCGGCAGGTGCGTGTCAGACTAGGTCAGGATCGAACTGTACCCGGACCGGGATTATAGACATGTTACAGTGGCAGGTGCGTGTCACACTAGGTCAGGATCTAACTGTACCCGGACCGGGATTATAGACATGTTACAGCGGCAGGTGCGTGTCAGACTAGGGCAGTATCTAACTGTACCCGGACCGGGATTATAGACATATTACAGCGGCAGGTGCGTGTCACAGTAGGTCAGGATCTAACTGTACCCGGGCCGGGATTATAGACATGTTACAGCGGCAGGTGCGTGTCACAGTAGGTCAGGATCTAACTGTACCCGGACCGGGATTATAGACATGTTACAGTGGTAGGTGCGTGTCACACTAGGGCAGTATCTAACTGTACCCGGACCGGGATTATAGACATGTTAAGGCGGCAGGTGCGTGTCACAGTAGGTCAGGATCTAACTGTACCCGGGCCGGGATTATAGACGTGTTACAGCGGCAGGTGCGTGTCACAGTAGGTCAGGATCTAACTGTACCCGGACCGGGATTATAGACATGTTACAGTGGTAGGTGCGTGTCAGACTAGGTCAGTATCTAACTGTACCCGGACCGGGATTATAGACATGTTACAGCGGCAGGTGCGTGTCACAGTAGGTCAGGATCTAACTGTACCCGGACCGGGATTATAGACATGTTACAGTGGCAGGTGCGTGTCAGACTAGGTCAGGATCTAACTGTACCCGGACCGGGATTATAGGCATGTTACAGTGGCAGGTGCGTGTCACACTAGGGCAGTATCTAACTGTACCCGGACCGGGATTATAGACATGTTACAGTGGCAGGTGCGTGTCACAGTAGGTCAGTATCTAACTGTACCCGGGCCGGGATTATAGACATGTTACAGCGGCAGGTGCGTGTCAGACTAGGGCAGTATCTCACTGTACCCGGACCGGGATTATAGGCATGTTTCAGTGGCAGGTGCGTGTCACAGTAGGTCAGTATCTAACTGTACCCGGACCGGGATTATAGACATGTTACAGCGGCAGGTGCGTGTCAGACTAGGGCAGTATCTAACTGTACCCGGACCGGAATTATAGACATGTTACAGTGGCAGGTGCGTGTCAGACTAGGGCAGTATCTAACTGTACCCGGACCGGAATTATAGACATGTTACAGTGGCAGGTGCGTGTCACAGTAGGTCAGGATCTAACCGTACCTGTACGAGTAGCTAACACACACACACACACACACACACAAAATCACACACACAAGCACACACGCACGCACATACGCGCGCACCCACACGCAAGCACACCCACACGCACACACACACACATTATCATCACACAATCACACACACAATCACAAAATCACACACACAAAATCACACACACACAATGACACAATCACACACACACAATCACACACAGATGCAAAGGCAAGTCAATTGTTCATAAACACGGAAACATATGCATGTCAAAACAACATCATTTTAGTTTCTGATGCGTCAAATTTAGAAATGTCCCCACAACCCTCCCATACAACATTTAGGGCCTTGACTGTTGTGGCAGAGTCATATGATGCTCTTGAAATTTTCGCAGAGTCAGCCCCTCTGTCATACAGTCCTGTGAAACTTAATGCACAGATCTAAATAGGAAAGAGATGACGCGGGTTCTTTATGGATATTGTTGAGAGGTGAATTAAAACGCAGAGGTTAATCCAGACATCTGAACCCAGACAAGATTAATGAATAATTAACACATATTATTAAAACTCACGTCAGATTCCACTGTTATTATAACACCTGTTAGGTTTACAATCGAAAAAGGCAATAGAATGTTTCAAATAAGTGGCAACAGGAATAAGTAACAGACCCAGTAATAAATGGCAGTGCACTTGTACGGAACGTGTCACTGTGGATTGTCTTGAAAGAGTGCATGCTCTGTTCCGTATTCCAAAAGCTCAAACCTTTGGTGTCATTTGACATACAATCGAGCTTGCACTTTCTGCTAAGATTTCAAAGAGCGTCAAACGACTCTTGCTCAAAAGTTGTTTAATAGCTTCTATTTACTACATTCAAGCCTAAAATGTTTTATGGTTTGATTGCGTGGGACATTTCCACACTGGACCTTCCTTCCAGGGGGCCGATCTCTGCCCTGTGCCCTACTCTATGACCCCTGAAAGGGCCAGTGTGCTGGAGTTCTCAGTGCATGTCCTGTCGACGTACAATATGGCAGTGTACATGGTCCCTTCCTCGCCCCACCCCACGGCAGCACAATGGCTGGTGTTGCTGCCGTCAAGGGACTGGCAGGTGTACCTGGGGCTGACGGCGGCCTTCTGCTGGGTGTCTCTGCTGCTCACGCTGGCAAGGACGAAGCTGGTGCGGGGCGTCTTGTCCACGGGGTCTCACAGTGGGGCTCTCACAGCTCGAGTCTCGCTACGCCAAGGTAGACATTGTCCCATCTTTTCCCTCCCTCATCGTCACCTTCCCTCTCACCTTCCCTCTCCGTCATCTCACCTTCCCTCTCCGCCATCTCACCTTCCCTCTCCGCCATCTCACCTTTCTTTTCACCATTGTGTTACAGATCCTCCCCTGTGGAGAACCATTTTGTTACAAACCTCCCTCTATAGAGTACCATTGTGTTACAGATCCTCCCCTGAAGAGTACCATTGTGTTACAGATCCTCTCCTGTGGAGTACCATTGTGTTACAGATCCTCCCCTGAAGAGTACCATTGTGTTACAGATCCTCCTCTGTGGAGTACCATTGTATTACAGATCCTCCTCTGTGGAGTACCATTGTGTTACAGATCCTCCTCTGTGGAGTACCATTTTGTTACAAACCTCCCTCTATAGAGTACCATTGTGTTACAGATTTCCCTTGTAGAGTACCATTGTGTTACAGATCTTCAAAGTAGAGTACCATTGTGTTACAGATCCACCCCTGTAGAGTACCATTTTGTTACAAACCTCCCCTATAGAGTATCATTGTGTTACAGAACTCCCTCTGTAGAGTACCATTGTGTTACAGATCTCCCCTGTAAAGTACCATTGTGTTACAGATCCTCTCCTGTGGAGTGCCATTTTGTTACAAACCTCCCTCTATAGAGTACCATTGTGTTACAGATTTCCCTGTAGAGTACCATTGTGTTACAGATCTTTCAAAGTAGAGTACCATCGTGTTACAGATCCTCCTCTGTGGAGTACCATTGTGTAACAGATCCTCCTCTGTGGAGAACCATTTTGTTACAAACCTCCCTCTATAGAGTACCATTGTGTTACAGATTTCCCTGTAGAGTACCATTGTGTTACAGATCTTTCAAAGTAGAGTACCATTGTGTTACAGATCCTCCTCTGTGGAGTACCATTGTGTTACAGATCCACCCCTGTGGAGTACCATTTTGTTACAAACCTCCCTCTATAGAGTACCATTGTGTTACAGAACTCCCTCTGTAGAGTACCATTGTGTTACAGATCTCCCCTGTAAAGTACCATTGTGTTACAGATCCTCTCCTGTGGAGTGCCATTTTGTTACAAACCTCCCTCTATAGAGTACCATTGTGTTACAGATTTCCCTGTAGAGTACCATTGTGTTACAGATCTTTCAAAGTAGAGTACCATTGTGTTACAGATCCTCCTCTGTGGAGTACCATTGTGTAACAGATCCTCCTCTGTGGAGAACCATTTTGTTACAAACCTCTCTCTATAGAGTACCATTGTGTTACAGATTTCCCTGTAGAGTACCATTGTGTTACAGATCTTTCAAAGTAGAGTACCATTGTGTTACAGATCCTCCTCTGTGGAGTACCATTGTGTTACAGATCCACCCCTGTGGAGTACCATTTTGTTACAAACCTCCCTCTATAGAGTACCATTGTGTTACAGATCCTCCCCTGAAAAGTACCATTGTGTTACAGATCCTCTCCTGTGGAGTACCATTGTTACAGAACTACCTCTATAGAGTATCATTGTGTTACAGATCTCCCCTGTAAAGTACCATTGTGTTACAGATTCTCCTCTGTGGAGTACCATTGTGTAACAGATCCTCCTCTGTGGAGTACCATTTTGTTACAGATTTCCCTTGTAGAGTACCATTGTTACATATCTCCCCCTGTGGAGTACCATTGTGTTACAGATCTACCCTGTAGAGTACCATTGTGTTACAGATCCTCCCCTGTAGAGTACCATTGTGTTACAGATCTCCCCTGTAGAGTACCATTGTGTTACAGATTTACCCCGTAAAGTATCGTTGTGTTACAGATCTCCCGTGGAGTACCATTTTGTTACAAACCTCCCTCTATAGAGTACCTTTGCGTTACAGATCTCCCCTGTAGAGTACCATTGTGTTACAGATCTCCCCCTGTGGAGTACCATTGTGTTACAGATCTTTCCATGCAGAGTATCGTGTTACGGAGCTTCCCCTGTAGAGTACCATTATGTTACAGATCTCCCCTGTAGAGTATCATTATGTTACAGATCTCCCCTGTAGAGTATCATTGTGTTACAGATCTCCCCTGTAGAGTACCATTATGTTACAGACCTCCCTCTATAGAGTACCATTGTGTTACAGATCTTCCCCTGTAGAGTACCATTATGTTACAGACCTCCCACTATAGAGTACCATTGTGTTACAGATTTTTCCCTGTAAAGTACCATTATGTTACAGATCCTCCCCTGTAGAGTACCATTATGTTACAGATCTCCCCTGTAGAGTATCATTGTGTTACATATGTTCTCCTGTAGAACACCACTGTGTTACAGATCCTCCCCTGTAGAGAACCATTATGTTACAGATCTCCCCTGTAGAGAACCATTATGTTACAGATCCTCCCCTGTAGAGTACCATTATGTTACAGATCCTCCCCTGTAGAGAACCATTATGTTACAGATCCTCCCCTGTAGAGTACCATTATGTTACAGATCTCCCCTGTAGAGTACCATTATGTTACAGATCCTCCCCTGTAGAGTACCATTATGTTACAGATCTCCCCTGTAGAGAACCATTATGTTACAGATCCTCCCCTGTAGAGAACCATTATGTTACAGATCTCCCCTGTAGAGTACCATTATGTTACAGATCCTCCCCTGTAGAGTACCATTATGTTACAGATCTCCCCTGTAGAGAACCATTATGTTACAGATCTCCCCTGTAGAGTACCATTATGTTACAGATCCTCCCCTGTAGAGTACCATTATGTTACAGATCTCCCCTGTAGAGAACCATTATGTTACAGATCCTCCCCTGTAGAGTACCATTATGTTACAGATCTCCCCTGTAGAGTACCATTATGTTACAGATCTCCCCTGTAGAGAACCATTATGTTACAGATCTCCCCTGTGGAGCATCATTGTGTTACAGATCTCCCCAGGCGGCCGGAGTCGTGTAGTTGTCAGTCCGTGCTGTACAGCTGGAGCCTGTTCTGTGTCACAGTGACAGCCTTCTACACAGGTAACATCGTAGCCGATGTCGCGATGGGGCCGCAAGATGTCCTCTTCACAACACTACAGGACCTGGTGAACCAGGGGATGTATGACGTCGGGGCTGCAGCCGGTGGATATGTCCACAACATGTTCAAGGCAAGAGTGTGTTCGACATTATGATTATGTGGGTGTTTTGTGCTCAAAGGCAAGACTCGTGCCTCACGCCCCATGTCATTATATCTCAGCATCACCCCCCAAGCCCCTCCACGCCACCCACCCCTTCCACGCCATCCCAGTTGGCATTGCATACAGGGACCATACGCGGATCCAGAAAGGGTGGGTCGAGGGATCGAGGAGGTCCGAGGAGGAACATTAATTTGCATTGGCCCAATGCTCGTCCTATTCAGGGCCAATATCGTTAAGTCTACCTTACCTTGACCTTGAGTTGTGTATTGATCGCAGGATTGTGTTAATTAAGTATAATAATGACAACAAATGAAAACATGTATTCAATATAGTATGTAATCAGACAGTGTGTATATCATATTAAATATTTATATGCTGTTAAAAAAGTATGGGATCATGAAATATAAATGTTAATACCAAGTATTAGGACAAAGATAAGTGTTGACGACAAGGATTCTATGTTAGAACGTTTATGTCGGTAAATAAATAACACCAAAACACTTTCCATAGTTTACATATCTGTCTCTCGTATTGATTCCGCTTATCATACAGTTGTGATTTACTTGATTCATTGTTTGTGTAAGAACAACCAATGCGGCGTCTGGAACCCTCGGGGCGTCGACGGGGTGTTGGCATGCTGGAAACGGGCAGAAGTCAGCCGGCAGTGGCCAATACGTTCAGTGTTTCACGGTCTGTGATTAGCAGACTATGGAACAGGTACCAACAAACCCAAATTATGGACGATCGACACCGTCGAGGTCGACGACAAATGGACAGGACATTGATCCGAAATAAGGCTCTACGAAATCGAGCTCAAACGTCGAATCAAATTGCAGCAAACTTTCATCAGGTTACTGCAGTACGGGTGAGACGATTAGGAATCGCCTACATGCAGCTCATCTTCCTACTCAACAGCCACGTGTTGTGCCGCCCCCTACTAATCGTCATATTGCCAACAGACGTCATTGGTGTACACAACGTCGAAACTGGGGTAATAGTCGCTGGTCATGTCTTGTTTTCAGTCCCGATTCACTTTGCACGTCCTCGAAAGGCGTGGGCGTGTCTGGCGACGTCGAAATGAACGTCAAGCCAATGTCAGCCTGTTACTTCATGAGAAATTTGGCGGTGGATGTGTCATGGTGTGTCGGTGACTGACAGAACCCAACTCGATATTGTGCAAGGAAGGGCTACTAGACAGTAATGACAACATACTGACACCCTTTGAAGTCCCGTTTGCAAGCATGTGGGTCGACGTTGTGACTTCTTGACACAATACCCGTGTTCACTGTGCACGAATTGTCAATGCCTACCTCCCGTAGCACAGCATACAAAGACTGCCATGACCAGCAATGAGCCCAGATGTTCCCCTCATTGAACACGTCTGGGACATGATAGGGAGGCGTGTGCGTGAACTTACGCCGCGACCTCGTTGGCTGATCTTGGCCATGCAATGCAAGAGCTAGGAGTCCTCCCAGTCTTTACACAATCACATGATACCCCCAAGTCTTTCCACTGTCACGTGATCCTCCAAGTCGTTGAGCTGTCACATGATACCCCCAAGTCTTTCCACTGTCACATGATACCCCCAAGTCCTCCACTGTCACGTGATCCTCTAAGTCATTGAACTGTCACATGATACCCCCAAGTCTTTCCACTGTCACATGATACCCCCAAGTCCTCCACTGTCACGTGATCCTCCAAGTCATTGAACTGTCACATGATACCCCAAAGTCTTTCCACTGGCACGTGATCCTCCAAGTCGTTGAACTGTCACATGATACCCCCAAGTCTTTCCACTGTCACATGATACCCCCAAGTCTTCCACTGTCACATGATCCTCCAAGTCGTTGAACTGTAACATGATACCCCCAAGTCTTTCCACTGTCACATGATACCCCCAAGTATTTAAACTGTCACATGATACCCCAAAGTCTTTCCACTGTCACATGATACCCCCAAGTATTTAAACTGTCACATGATACCCCAAAGTCTTTCCGCTGTCACATGATCCTCCAAGTCGTTGAACTGTCACATGATCCTCCAAGTCGTTACACTGTCACATGATCCCCCACGTTTGTATACTGTCACATGATCCTCCAAGTATTTACACTGTCACATGATTCCCCCAAGTAATTACACTGTCACATGATCCCTCGAGTCTTTCCACTGTCTTTGCTCGGGTTCGATTCCCGACATGGGTACAATGTGTGAATCCCATTTCTGGTGTCCCCCGCCGTGATATTGCTGGAATATTGCTAAAAGCGGCGTAAAACCATACTCACTCACTCATTTCCACTGTTACATGATCCTCCAAGTCTTTACACTGTCACATGACCCTCGAAGTCTTTACAGTCACATGATCCCCCACGTTTGTACACTGTCACATGATCCTCCAAGTCTTTACACTGTCACATGATCCTCCAAGTAATTACACTGTCACATGATCCTCCAAGTCGTTACACTGTCACATGATCTTCCAAGTCTTTACACTGTCACATGGTTCTCCAAGTCTTTACAGTGTCACATGATCCTCCAAGTCTTTACGGTGTCACATGATCCCCCACGTTTGTACAGTGTCACATGATCCTCCAAGTCTTTACACTGTCATATGATCCTCCAAGTCTTTACACTGTCACATGATCCCCCACGTTTGTACACTGTCACATGATCCTCCAAGTCTTTACACTGTCACATGATCCTCCAAGTAATTACACTGTCACATGATCCTCCAAGTCGTTACACGGTCACATGATCTTCCAAGTCTTTACACTGTCACATGGTTCTCCAAGTCTTTACAGTGTCACATGATCCTCCAAGTCTTTACACTGTCACATGGTTCTCCAAGTCTTTACAGTGTCACATGATCCTCCAAGTCTTTACACTGTCACATGATCCTCCAAGTCTTTACACTGTCACATGATCCTCCAAGTTGTTACACTGTCACATGATCCTCCAAAGCTTTCCATTTCCACATGACCTTCCCAATCGTTTAGAAATATATGTCTCTTACAACAGCCCAGTGGCAGTGCCTATTATCTAGTTCATGTTTTCCTTATAGACTTCGAACAACACCCTCTACCGCTCATTGCACCATAAGATCGAGGCCAGCATTCAGCAGATCTCGTCAGAGGACAAAGACCACATTGCCTATCACAGGACCCGGTTACTGAGCGGGAACTATGTGTTCATCACAAACCATCTGACGCTGGGCGTTCTGCAGGCAGAATTCCGCGACCTGGTTGTGATGAAGGAACAGTTCCTGCCAAGTAGTGCCGTAATAATCTTCCCTCGCCAGTCTCCTTTGGTTGAGGTGTTCAATGAACAGTAAGTTCAGAAAACCACACGTTAGATTAACTGTGCTTTCCAAAGGTTGGTATAAACTAATGTAGCATTTTTTTTAAAGAACAGTCGGTTTTGTATTGCTAGAAGCTCAACGTAAGGCAGTTAGAGATATATCACGATCGGGTTAAGTCTATGTTTCAGGGCAGTGAATGACAGACCTCGGGCTTCTACAAGTAATACTGCCCTTGAAATAGCTATATCGTTCTTATGGGTAAAATCGGTCATTCAAATTTGTCCTCAGTTGGCAATACAACCCAATAAAGACACGAACCAGTTTATGTTAACCATCTCTTAGAAGTATCTCAACAGCACTGGCTCACGTCACAAGAACTCGAGTGACGTCATTTGACACTGGCCTTCGATTCCGCCAACACTGGATTATGGCCATTTCGTGTGCAACTCGACCGTCCGTTTTGGGAGAGTTGATGTACTGTAACTAATCATGCAGTGATTGATACTGGTACCTGCAAGGATGCTCAGGGCACCATATTAATGCCTGATAGTTGCACTTCGGCGCAATCTGTAGAGTGTTTGTCATGGATATCGCCATTGTTTTCATCCCAACATATGCGGGAGACATGATCAAGCCATACGTCATCAGTTGACTCGTGAGGCGGCGCTCAATGAGTCCACAGAGCTACACCAGCCACCATGTTTCTTTACTTTAGCATGCTTATAATATATGACGTCACTTGGCAACATGTGTCCCGTGGTTGGGCAAAACATGGAGATTATAGAATTAAGATGGCCCCTTCTTTTCCTGTTAATTTGCGGGTGGTTTATTGATAATTCAAGCCATATTAGTTATAATACAGAGAAAATCACTAAGCTTTTAATAAGGGATGTGTCTGCTCGGAAAGCAGAAGGTCGGAGGTTCGATCCCCTGGACGCATCATACTAAATGACTAAATTACACGAAAGTATTTCTTGTTTCCTTGCCTGGAGCTCTGCATTAAGCGGATAAAACAGGGACTAGTCTGTTCACAGTCACTATACTGTGTCTGGGAGTGGTATCTATGTTAATCAGCGGGATGGTATCTCAGTAGGCTAACACTATACAAATCAGCATACAAGAGAGGTAAAATATCCTAAGTGTATCCTCTTAGAAATTCGACCGACTCCGTGGTCTAATGGTAGAGCGTCCGCCCGGAGTGCGGAAGGTACGAGGTTCGATTCCAAGTCGCGTCATACCAAAAGAGTTGCTTGTTGTTACCCTACCCTGCTCTGCGGCATTAAGGGGCTAAAACAAGGACTGATCAGCTCGGGGTCAATGTACTGTGTCTGAGTGGGGTATTCATGTTAAACTACGGCATGGTATCTCAGTGAGCTAGCACTATAAAATCGGATAAGTACAAGCTTACACACAAGCACGCACACACATGCATTCACGTCGCTATATAAGCAATAATCTTGGATGTGACGTTAATCCCCATTTCACCTCACCTCACCTCACATCTTATAAAACCATATATGAATCCTGCTCTAACACATGTCACTGATCAGCTGTTTTCCGGTCCAGCATAATTAACTTCTTTGACAGTGGGCTCGTGGAGCTAATAATCCAACAATGGACACCAAGGAAAAAAGTTTGTTTCGCACCCAAATCTCAAGGACAAACACAATTTCACATAAGCCACTTACGGACACTATTCGCTTCAATGTGTGTTGTATTGTTCTTAGCAGTGGTAGCGTTGTTGATTGAAATGAACTGGAAGGGGAACTGACACTGTTAACTCTGTGCATTTACACAGTAACTATACATTGTATGAAACATTTACATTGTTTACAGATACATTGAATAAAACATTTACAGAGTAACTACATATTGTATGAAACATTAACACAGTGAATATACAATGTGTGAAAGATTTACAAAATTTATACAGTAAAGAGTTTTAAACATTAACACAGTAAATATACATTGAATAAAACACTTACAGAGTTATTGTATGTTATACATTTTTGAAACAAAGTGTATGAAACATTAACACAGTAAATTTGCATTGTGTGAAAGATTTACACATTGAACATTTACCCTTTAAACATAGTGCATGAAACATTTACACCATAAATAAACATTATCTAAAACATATACACAGTTAAAATACCTTTGTTTGAACCATTTACACAGTAAATATACAGCTTAAGAAACATATCAAATAAACGTTGTATGAAACATTTA